GTGTGTGTGTGTGTGTGTGTGTGTGTGTGTGTGTGTGTGTGTGTGTGGGTGTGTTCATAGATGCTGAAGACAAATTAAGGAGGAAAATGAAACCTAACAGTATAAACGTGAGTTAAAATAATTGTCGGCGTTAACGAGATAATAACGGATTAATGTGCACGCCACTAATATATATTCAATGATTCAAGGATTCAAGGTTCTTTATTGTCATTCACATCACATGTGGTACATGAGGTGGAACAAAAGTGTGTACACAGGGTCCCAGTTACATCCAACAAAAGTATAAATTGTAAAGAAAAACAGTGATAAGATCTAAGATATGAACTAAGAAAAACGTTAAACTAAAAATACGCTAAGCACTAATCGAATAAAAACAATACGCTGAACAACAGCAACAAACATTCCTTAATGTTTGAACACAACCAGATTTAAAATGGCAGTCACAGTCAAGTAATGTTCTAATTTTCTGAGATACTGAATTTGGGGTTTTCGTTAGTTGTCAGTTATAATCATCAACATTAAAAGAAATAAACATTTAAAATATATCAGTCGGGGTGTAATGAATGAATATAATATACAAGTTTCACTTTTTGAATGGAATTATTGAAATAAATCAACTTTTTCATGATTTTCTCGTTTTATGACCAGCACCTGTATGTCGACATAAAGATTGTTGTGGCCGTGGCTAAGATTTGTCTCTAGCACTCGTTGAGCACAACACATTTCACAGCATTTTTGTTAAAATCTTAATAACTGTTGGAGTCGGCCCTATTTGTGAGCAAACGTCTCATGAAGCGCAGGACAGATTTCACTGAAACGTTCAGGTGGGAATGATTAAGGTTTAGCATCAAATAAATTTAAGATATCTGCTACTGCCACTTGACATTAACCAACACTGTACTGTGTTTTTAATGAATTTTGCAAATATTTAGCTAAAACTTTGTGTAGTTCCAGCTGAAAAATATTTACAACACATCCTCCAAGTGATGACAGATTACTTAAGAGATTGTTTATAATTATATTTTCAAGGTTTGATCAAAACTTCAATAACTGTCATTTTCCATCTTAAGAGGACCTTCGTGACAAAGTCTGACATGATAAACCCTAGTTTTCCCTGTTTCTTATTGATTTATATTTTATGTCTGGATTTAAAACGGACACATTCATATACATGGGTGATATTTGGGGTTTTGGTCCTGGCAGACAGGTAGCTTTGTTTGGATCAGGGCTTGCAGGCACCTGACAGGTGGAAGGAGGGGGATTTGATCATTACTTTGCTTTCCACAGAACAATGGAGCTTTGTATTATTTTTGTGTGTGCTCTCGAGTTGGTCGGCACATTCCACGTGCATTGTTATCCGTCTCGTTTCCTGCAGCCGCTGGCTTTTGTCAGCCGCTCCCCCATTGTCTGGGCTTCCTTTGTTCTCTGACTCCAACAATGACATTTTTTCTCTCTCCTTCTATACATGTGCACTTTTTGCCCTTGTGGGTTCTGTTTATTTTGTTCTGCTGTCTGCTGTGTTTTTCTTTCCTCCGATTGTAAAGCTGGGAAATAACACACAAAATCCTGAGCTGGATTTTGTTCAGACCCAACCTGTCTCCTGCTCTGCGTCCCTCGTTTCTCGGGGTTGGGGAGTGGTAGAAAGCCGATACCTTTCCAATGTTTTACAGCAGGTAGCTGCAGCACACGGTCACCCCTTTTGTTGGTTTAGACTGGCATGTTATCAAATAACCTGTTGGGTCTCATTACTTACAATTACATTTCTGAGAAAAAGTTACAATTCTGCTGTTAGACATAACTTTGGTGTAATGAAAGAAAATATTTGTCCTTTGAACTTGTGTCTAACTCAACAAACCCATGGAACAAGTACTTGCTCAGCTTCTCTTTAGCAATCCAAAGCTGCAACGTGTTTGTTGTAAAAACTGTAAGGTAGGCAGTGTGCCTACAAGTTTGATCTGCATTTTCATTTTGCCAGTGCATTAAATCAGACCAAATATTGTAGCAAAACAACTCCCCAGCAAATCTTGTTTGTTCACACTTTACCAGGTGTTCAATTTATTTTCACTCTGAGCCATGTGTGGTATCCACTACCCGTTAACTCAGACACACAAAGCTCGCCGCACCCAAATGACGCTTGTTATTGTGTGGCGTGCTTGTCTTTTAACAGAATGGGTGAGCCCAGCCCTCCAGCACTGCAACTCCTTTTCAGTGCCGGCAATGTTGGCATGGCAAAGGTTTGTGTGAAAGTTAAACAGGAGGAATGTGGCAGAGGTGGTAGAGCTAATACCAGTCCTGAGCCTGCCAAGAAGTCTCCTTTGTATGGTTGGTCAGGAAATCAGCAGCTCGAGGCTCGCCAACTCACCCCACCAGTGTCACGCTCGCCTTCGGTAAGAATTTTAGAGATATGGAATGTATGTCCACTTGGTCCTTTAATATAGAAATTATGCTTTGTTTCACTCTGGTCTGATGGAAGTTCATGTTCACAGGAGGGCTCTCCAGTTAAAGAACTGCCTCACAGGCAAAGCCTTCAAGGAGTAAATGAAGCAAAGGCTCAAGAGCACTCAGACGGGCAATCCATCTTCAAAGACGGTGAGTCGAAAGTGTTGTTGAACAGTCGGGACTTAGTAGTGGAAAAAGTAAGTGAAAATAATGTCTTGATATTTTTAGCTAAAGATGGCTCAGTTTGTAGAGCTGTTGCCTCTCAGCGAGGTGGTCGCTGGATCGAATCCCGTCCAGGGGCCTTTCTGGGTGGAGTTTGCATGTTCTCTCCGTGCATGCGTGGGTTTTCTCCAGGTACTCCAGTTTCCTCCCACAGACCCAAAACAAACATGTTAGACTGACTGGTAACTCTAAATTGTCCCTAGGAGAGAGAGAGAGAGAGTGAATGGTTAGGGGGAGTGGTGGCGCAGAGTTTAGAGAGGTGAGCATGTGATCGGATCACCAGTTCACGCCCCGGTACCGACAACATCAAAAATGTGGGTGGGGTAAGTGAAGCACCCACATTTGCCCCTACTCTCATTGGCCCCACTCTGGGCCCATGAGCAAGGCCCTTAACCCCCCATCTGCTCCCCAAACAGGTCTCTCTTGAAAATGAGTTCTCATGACTCAATGAGACTACCTGTATAAATAAAGGTAAATGAACAAAATGGTTGTTTGTCTCTATTGCCCCTTTTCCATTAGTACCTGTAGTACCGGTACAGCACGGCTCTACTCTACTTGGTACGGTACATGTTGTGTTTCCATTATGCTTTCAGTACCGGTTCCAGTGGGCGGGGTTCAAATTGACATCACCACCTCTCACCAGCTGGTGGGAGTGAGACGCTGAAACTGTTTTCAGTACAGGGCGAGAATTTATTTTAAAGTTGTGTGTATGTACATATATACACATA